TATATCACTTCAAATTCCTTCTGGATAATATTTTGCAGGTCCTTTATTTGGACAAGTTTCTTTTTTCACTCCACACAACAACTGGTCAATTTTAGTTAATAGTTTCCTACATCTGGGCTAAAAGGTATCTATTCTGGAAAAAGGGAGACTAGTGTGTACCAAATCCCATGTTTAATTACTGTTTTCATCTGTAACTATAATATTGCTGCAGACATTCTGTTCTGCATCACTGTAAATATCTCAAAAAAGTAACATCATCTTTTTAAAAAGACATTAACTTTTCAGTGGCGACTGTAGAAGTAGTAGAATCCCGACAGTCATGACATTTCAAACTGCTTTTGGTGTGTTCCTCGGGCTGCCACAACTTTTGCTGCACCTTTGCTTTTAGGCTGGCCACCCAAGAATCAGACCGTGTGGTTTTGGCCTCTCTCCTCTGATTGATTTCCCCAGTGAAATCATGTGCCTGGGAATGGAAAATGTGGAATATAAAACTTTATGACTAATCAGCCATGTTTTACAGCTTTGGGTTCAATCATCGTTGTTATATAAATAGAGACTCACACTGTTCTGCTCTTGAAACCTATTATGCATTTTTATCTCTGTTTGATTCAAACCACATTCCCTAAACAATGATAAATACATTTGGGCAATCACCACATATTAACTAGCACTTCCTTTTTGTGAACATGCTAGAAATATAATAAATAATATATAATCATGAAAGATGAAAATATGGGGGGATCAAGATGAGTTATCATAGGTGCTATGTTCCTATTTCATGACCATGTCCTCATAACTCTTAGCAAGATCTAGTAATTAGAGCCCTAGCTGGTTTGGCTCAATGGATAGAGTGTCGGATTGTGGACTGAAGGGTCCCAGGTTCGATTCTGATCAAGGGCACATGCCTGGGGTTGCGGGCTCGATCCCCAGTACGGGGCGTGCAGGAGGCAGCCGATCAGTGATTCTTTCTCATCATTGATGTTTTTATATCTCTCTCCCTCTCCCTTCCTCTCTGAAATCAATAAAAATTTAAAGAAAATTTTAGTAATTACAAAAACTCTCCTCCAATCAGTTATCATCCAATGTTGACAACCAACCCCTACTTTTATTTGTTGGTTGATTTAGCAAATAGGTCCAGCAAATACAGCAGATAAAAGGATAAGAAGTATCTCGGGTTCTTGAGCTCTATGGTCCAATCTCCCCTTGAGTCCAGCAGCTGGTTTATGGAAAACATGATTAGCAATACTCCCAAGATCCTGTGTGCTTACATTGCCACCTACTGCTCACTCCAGGTACACCTCAAGCTAAAGGCAGTGGACGCTCTGGGTAAGAAACAGACTTGATTTTGAGCTTTGGGTAATCATCAATCCCTAGCAGGATTAAGAAGTAGTCAAAGGCAGTGAGTGGGTACTGCTGTCAATGCGGACAATTAGTGACAATCGTTTTATTGAATTTCACAAATCGTTAATATTTTAGCTTATAGATTTTTTAAGATGAGTGTTATACCAAAAACTAGATGAAGTAGTGAGAATTTTGTAAAATTTGGAGATTCCATAATATAAACCAGAAATATAAAAATACCATTTACAAATTTTGAGAAGAGTTTCCTTCTTTAATTTAAATGGATTTATCCACTGCTAGTTCATCATTTATTACTTCTTAATAATATAATAAGTAATTAACTTCAAGAGTCATAATTAAGCATCCCCATTCCAAACTGCAGCTTCTATTTTTTGCTGAAGTAAAAGTACCCATCACCTTTCACACTGAATTCTTAGCTTTGGAGCTGGAAATTATTTCCTTGATGCTTAGAAAAGGTAGAAAGAATTCTACACCTTTATAAGTGCTCTCGACCATAAAGAATGACACAGTATGGATAACTCCCAACTGAACTTGTAATTTGAATGCCGTGGCATTCAAATGATGAAACAGCGGATCTAGAAATCAAGTCTTTAGGGTTGAGAAATATGAGCTTTTGGGATCTGACCTGAATTACTATACGAGTTGGAGAAAGTAACCACTTAGTTCTTCATTTTAAAAAATTACTATTTCAATATCATTCTTTCTTCCTAAAGCCCATGAATAATATTAGGGGGGAAAAAATCTCCCTGGAAAGGTAACAAATAATAAGAGCAGAGAAAGCAAGAGCCAGAAAGAGAGAGAAGAAAAAGAACTCTCCATTTTGCAAGCCTATAAACTACTAGAGGCCCAGTGCACAAAATTCGTGCACTCAGGACGGGAGATCCCTCAGTCCGACCTGCGCCCTCTCGCAGTCTGGGAGCCCTCGGGGGATGTCAGACTGCTGCGGAGGCAGGAGAGGATCCTGCCACCACTGCTGCACTTGCCAGCGGTGAGCTCGGCTTCTGGCTGAGTGGCACTCCCCCTGTGGGAGGGCACTAACCACCAGGGTGCAGCTCCTGCATTGAGCGTCTGCCCCCTGGTGGTCAGTGTACATCATAGTGACCAGTCGTTCTGCCATTTGGTCAATTTGCATATTAGCCTTTTATTATATAGGATAGGTCTGAACTAGAAGCATTGTTTTCCGATAGCAACAGGTTCTTTAACTGTTTTCCTTAGAAACAACATTAATTGATTGGCAGATGATACCCTTATTTTGTAGAATGAGGGTGTAATGCAAGTTAAGAAGTCTTTTCTTCAGCCTAAACCCATTAGTCTAATTGATTAGGGCATTGATCAGGGGATTGAAGGTTTGTGGGTTTGATTCTGGTCAAGAGCATGTACCTCGATTGCAGGCTCAATCCCTGGCCCTGGTCGGGAGGCAACCAAACTATCTGACTCTCCTATATCGATGTTTCTCTCTCTGTCTCTCCCTTCCACTCTAAAAAAAGAATCAATGGAAAAATATCCTCAAGTGAGGATTAACAACAACACACAAAAAAAGTCTCTTCTTCAGAAACAGGGCTGCTGAACAGAAACTTAGCACCTACTATCTGTTTAGTTAGCTCAATGGCTCCAGTAATATGCTGTTTGTTTCTTCTCTTACAACAAACATATCCCAAGCCCAAGCGACAAATAATTTGTCAATAAATATCTCTTTAACTGTAACTCCAGCACCTCCATTTTGGAATTTTATTATTCATCCTTTTCAAAATGTTTCCTATTAGTAAAAGAGTTCACAATTAAGTAACTATGTTGATATATACCTGGATATTGTATTCAGAGCATTGATGTCGTGACTTTAAATCACACTGTACCAAGCTTCTAGGGGCTCCCCATTCATTTCCTGCCACATTGTCCAGTTTTTAAAAATTCAGTGATACATAAGGTATCAAAAAATTCCAATAAGGCAGCTTGAAGGGGTATATTCAATTAGGACTGGTAGGAAAAAAGGTTTCAGATAAGGTTGCCAGCCTCAGACACTGAGCCCTATGCAAGTGATATGAACAAGTAGACATCACCATAGAGCAGGAGCCAGCCACCATGATCAACATGAAATGAATCAGCCAGGAGAAGCAGAGCATTCTCTAACTGAAGAAGACCTGGAGACGCCCAAAGAAAGCTCTCTCTTCAGTTGACTTCAAAGGCCAAGACCTAGGCAGGCAGGTCAAGTCAAGTGTCTGTTTCTAGACTTAAGGTTTGCGTGCAGAAGGCTTGCACTATTCATATTTTTTAACCAGATAACGGAAAGAAGATTTAAGAGCGAGAGCGAGAGAGAAAGAGAGAGAGAGAGAGAGAGAGAGAGAGAGACCTTTGGGTAAAAGCTTCAAGATACATTTTTTTTAACCTTGGTATATCTTACCTAATAATAGACAAACATGCAAATTGACCATACCTTTGCTACGCCCCCAAGCCACGCCCACCAGCGAATCAGATAGACTATATGCAAATTAACCCAACAAGATGGCGGCCAGCAGCCATGGAGCTGGAGCGAGCAGGAGGCTTGGTTGCCCCGGCGATGGAAGAAGCCAAGCTTCCCGGCCGGCTGCTGCCTCCTCTCAAGGCAACAAAGTTTCAATTTTAGAAGGTAAATAAACCCAAGATACCTGCTTCCAGTATCCATGGCCATGGAGCTGGAGCGAATAAAAAAAAAAAAAAGGAAAGGCTGGGAGTTTCGGTCGCCGGGAGGCTTGGTCAGCCTGAAAACAGCCATCAGCCCCTCACCCAGGCTGGCCAGGCACCCCAGCAGGACCCCCACCCTGATCCAGGACACCCTTCAGGGCAAACCAGTCGGCCCCCACCCGTGCACCAAACCTCTATTCTATATAATAGAAGGGTAATATGCAAATTGACCCTAATAGCAGAATGACTGGGAATGACTGGTCACTATGACACACACTGACCACCAGGGGGCAGATGCTCAATGCAGGAGCTGCCCCCTGGTGGTCAGTACGCTCCCACAGGGGGAGCTCTGCTCAGCCACAAGCCTGGCTGATGGCTGCCAGCACAGCGGTGGTGGCGGGAGCCTCTCCTGCCTCCTCAGCAGCACTAAGGATGTCCGACTGCAGCTTAGGCCTGCTCCCAGCTGGCAAGTGGACATCCTCCGAGGGTTGCCGGGCTGCCAGAGGGATGTCTGAGAGAAGAGAAGAGAAGAGAAGAGAAGAGAAGAGAAGAGAAGAGAAGAGAAGAGAAGAGAAGAGAAGAGAAGAGAAGAGAGAAAGACCTTTGGGTAAAAGCTTCAAGATACATTTTTTTAACCTTGGTATATTTTATAAAAATTCCCTTCCTCCATGAGAAGCACTACAGTGGTGGGCACAATTATTCCCCCTACTCCCAAACAGGCCAACAACAGCTCTATAAAGTCCTATGAATAATTTTTTAAAAGTGACTTTTTACATGTCAAAGCATTGAGTCTCTTAGTTTTGAGAACCAGATAATGGCCATAATAAGACTATAATTTCAAAGTTCTTCTTTGCTGCCGTCAATTTTGCAACTCTTCATGAAATCTCCGTTTCTGTGATGTGCTCCAGCCTGTTGAAGTAATGGGTCTCTTAGTGAACTGCCCCATTTACCTAAAATGACCAACTTGATCGCGCACTGACCTTGTTGGCGCTGTTAAAGAAATCATTCGCCTTTTTTAACCAGATTTTCCTCTCCGCGACGAGCTGACCAAATTCTTCTTGAAGCCGATTCAGTTTCTGGTTAGACAGCTGTAGATGTTCTTTCTCCACGTGGTCCTTGGACAGCAGAATCTCAAGTGCCTCGCTCTTCAGCTTCTCAACAGCGGCATTCCATTCCTACGAGAGATCATTGTCTTCAGCCCATTTTACATTTCCTACCCTTTCATCATCTCCGGTAAGAGTCAGAGAGCATTTAGATGTGTTGAACATATCATAAATCTGTCATTATTCTTTCAGATCAAAAAGGAGTAAATGCTACATTCCAGCTATGAGTACCAACATGTAGATTTTAAAAAGAGGCTAAAAAGGGAGAGGAAATGATGTAGAAGGGGCAGGTCATTTGGGATGTGTGACTGATGGAGTGTCTGGTTGCCCTTAACACGGGTCACTTCCATTCCCCATTAATGTGACCAGAAAACACACCGAAATGGAGTCAACAGCACTTCTCAATTTCTAACTCATTTTGACCTTTTACTCATTTAAATATAAAAGTCTCCCACAGTTCAGTCTCACTGCCAATGTGGGCAAAAATGCACAAGAAAGGAAGGGAAAGCTCATTTTTTATGGCTGTTGTTTTTGCATCTGCCTACACTTAAAACTGATGTTAACAGCTGTTATTCTCCACAAAAGTAATCGTTGTAATTGTGCAGTACCCCCTCCTTCCTGGCCTGTTTCACCTCTCAATGCTTCACTCTTAATGACATATAAACATTTCAGAAAATGAAAAGAGGCAGCCTTTTAGGTTCTGCTGCATGAGGATGAAAAACAGTAAGGAGAGAAGAAAGAAAATAGGAGTTGGTGTCAACCGAACACATTAACAGTCAATTTATTTGAAGGGAAATTCAAATTTCATGCCAAGAACAGAAGCCAGATCCATTCTCATCTGTGAATTCTCTACCTTCCATCTTAGCTGAGATCCAGTGCTAACATAGGTTGTTTGTAAAGCATCAGAAATTTAGCACCAAATTTCAAAATGGCAATCTGACTCCAACCTGGCTTGTTCCCTAGTGCAAAATGTTCTATTATTAAGTTACATTTGTTATATTATATTGGATAAAATAAGTATAATTTTACTGCAGTTTACCACTACTATTCCCATTCATTCATTTCACAAGACATACCAAATACTATGTACCTAGCTCTAGGCTAGAATAGATGTCTTGGGGAATATAAATAAAGAATAAAATGTAGCTCTTTCCTTTAACAATAAATATATAAATTGCCATTTTATATAATTTTTATATATACTTACATTGTTAAATATATATGTTGGTACTACAAACATATACACAGAGACAATCTGGTAATAATTAAATGACAATTAGTGGGTATTGAAGGTAGAAAGAGTACATATGATTTTATGGACTCCAAAGAACCTGTTCTAGTATTTGTGTAAGAGAATGACACTTTGATCAATGGATACAAAAGTAAGGACAGTAGAACCCAGCCAGTGGGGCTCAGTGGTTGAGCGTGGACCCATGCACCAAGAGATCGCCAGTTTGATTCCCAGTTAGGGCACATGCTGGGTTGTGGGCTTGATCCCCAGTTGGGGGTATGCTGGAGGCAGCTGATCAATGTTTCTCTTTCATCATTGATGTTTCTATCCCTTCCTCTCCCTTCCTTTTTCTGAAATCCATAAAAAAAAATTAAAAACATTAAAAAATAATCAATTGACATAAAAAAAATAGTAAGGACAGCAGATTAAGGGATTGGCATTTTTTAGCAGCTGTTATAAACCTGTGCCTTGTATGTATAAACCTCACAACTTCAGTTAGAGGACATCATTTTTCCAGTATTTACATAGGCTCAGAGGAGTATGTTGCTCAAGGTTACATATACAACAAGAAGCAGAATCAGGACAAGTTCACAGGTGTGTATATAATACTACATTCCAGGGAAGTGAGGATAGAGAAACTCCAAAGTCTCCCAGCTTCTCAGTGAGTGCAAAAGCAATACTCTTAGGCATGAAGAGAGGCTGTGGGAGTTCTCAAGATCCTTCCTTATTTAAAGAGTTATTTTGTCCCCGCTTAAGGACAGCTAGCATGTGCCATGACGTTCTTTCATAAAACACTTTGCAAATATCCCTCCCACTTAAAACCATTACCTTAACTTTTCTGAGAAAGAGCAAGTATTTCCCAAGCAGTTAGCACACTCCTGGCACACATAATAGGTGCTCATTAAATGCTAGTTAGTCCCACTTTTCTTCTCATCAGTGTTATTATGGTTCATGAGTACCCTGACATTTGTCCTTTCTTGTGGATGTTCTTGTTTCCCAGGTGTAAAATAACAACGGTGGGAAGAGTCTCCAGATGTATTAATCAAAATAAACAAAATAAAGCAGGTTTCTTTATTGCAGTACTTCTCAGAACTTTAACATGTTCATGTCCACTGAGACTCCTGGAGGGAAACGTGGTATGAAACACTTTGAATACACTTTTTTGACCAAGAAACCATTTATTTGCTAATCATCTCAGGGACCAGTGCTGCAGTTGGAACAATATTGGGAAACACATTGTTATTGTGGCGAAGAGCAGCTGGATCACCTACATGCTCACCTGCTTTCACAAGTCTTTCCGTTTCCTGTTTTGTTTTGTTTTGTTTTGTTTTGTTTTGTTTTGTTTGTTTTGTTGTTTTGTCCCTATTCCTCCAGCTCCTCAACCAGTCCATTTCCTGTCCTTTGTGTCCATTCCCTCCTTTACTGTCAGTTCAGATTTGTGGGCATTAATCCCCAGTGAACTCAGGTAAAGAGGTGCTTAATGTGTTAAAGCAGGAAATTCTTTTTAAAAAGTTCGACATTGACCAGAACCTTTTGTGCTCATTAGAGGACGACCACGTAAGAAATACAGAAACCCTGGGGGAGGCCGGGGAAGCTAGGGGGAAGGAGAATGGAGACAAAATTAGGATGTGGAGAAATCCGCTCAGCCTGGACAACACTAAGTTCTAGGACAGTGATGGTGAACCTATGACACGCATGTCAGAGGTGACACGCGAATTCATTTTTTTGGTTGATTTTTCTTTGCTAAATGGCATGTAAATATATAAAATAAATATCAAAAATATAAGTCTTTGTTTTACTATGGTTGCAAATATCAAAAAATTTCTATATGTGACACGGCACCAGAGTTAAGTTAGGGTTTTTCAAAATGCTGACACGCCGAGCTCAAAAGGTTCGCCATCACTGCTCTAGGGTGTTGGCTTAACTGTCTGCCAAACAGTAAGGGTTGCTTTTCCTTTCTAAATGCCAGCACTGTGCCACATGATTCACATGCATTATCTCATGTAATCTTCACCACACCCTTACAAGGTAGGATCTAGTGTTATCTTCATTTTACTGATGGCGTAACTGAGGCGGAACTTGCCCAAGGTCTCCATGATAGTAACTGACAGAGTCACAATTCAAACTCAGGAGGTTTGACCCTAGAATCTGCTCTCTCAACCAGTATCCTGCCTTAGCTCTTTATACCGGTTATATACAGTGTTTTTTTAAACCACAGAAAGATTAAACATATTAGCTTCAAATGACAGAGGTGAAACTTCCAGAAGGCCTGGATAAGGCCATGAAAATGATCAAAGTTGTATATGGCCCTGGGATTTTCTGACTTGAAATCAGAAACCTCATTGCTTCTAAATAAATGCAACGCTATTATAGATATAATTGAGAGTTAACAGCTCAAATTCAAGCTTAATTTTGCTTAGCAACTGTACCAAAATAATAAAACTCTTTGCTATGAATAAGAAGAGACTATCTGTTCTCTAACAGTGTGCATAAACCTGCCTGTCGTACACATTTTGCAAACAATGTTAAAGAGAGACTTCTGGAGGAGAGCCACGTCTGAAACCCCACTGTAACCTGGTGCTTCACGTTGTGCTGTAAGAAGTGGGCTGTGACCTTCCAGGGACACAGTGAAGGACCATTTTGTGCTCCTTATCTTTTCTTATTCACCATCCCCAGTCTTAGTTCCATTCTCACATGAACGCTGTGGGTATTAAATGAAGCTGGGTCTACTCAATATTTCTCTTCAATCTTCTAAGAAAAATTGGTTCTGTTCTCTTTGGGCAATCTATAGGCAGTTTCTGATGCATTTCTATACCATTTTGATGATGTATTTCTACCGTCGTTTTTCTTAGGGCATGCTTTTTAAGATAAAACTTTCCAGAGTCATCTGAATTCATCAAACTATTTTAAAACTGTCATTGTCATTGTTGTCAAGGCTGGAGGAACCCACTGGTGATAATCTTGGTCCGTTTTCTCCAAGCCCTGGCTGCCTGCCTGCTAAGTGTTCAACCTCTGACTGAGTTTCAGTCACTTTGCAATAAAAATATTTCCAGTACTTGTCCCCACCAAACACCTGCCATTTCCTTGGCTTTTCAGTCGGCCAGGGCTGCATTCGTATCTCTGGCCCAATACAGGCGTGTGGCACAGTGTGTTCTGGCCCGGGTGTATCCGTGGGTCATGTCGTTATTTCCCTTTTTCACTCACAGTAGTAACCCTTTTAAACTGTACATTTCAGTATTCTATTTGCTGAGAAAATTGAGCTTCTCTTGGACCGCTTGATTGAAAGGGCACTTTTAAGAGGATTAGTGCTGATAGACGAGAAGGTGAAAATAATTTCTTCTTTCCTTTTTTTTTTTTAACAGTCCCAGGTTAGCTCTTCAAATGAAGTTATGGATTGGCATAAAAATATCCAGCAAGTAGATTTTAAAAAATAAAAAAAATATTAGCTACACCATTAGAAAAGAAACAGTGGAATCACAGTATGCTTTCTTGAGCATTTTTTTCTCCACATGAGAACTTCTCTGTACATGGGAAGATTTAATTAATGATTCAACCCCAGGTGGTGAAATATTTGCACTATACAGCTGACTTTAGAATGTAACTTTTAAGTGGGAGAAAGTGGACAAGAAGCAACAGAGAATATATTTGTAAACTACTCAGAAAATTTCAGTGGTGAAGAATACCAGCCAAAATCACATCTGGCAGAAGCACATGTCAAGTTCACTGGCAGTTCCTGTTAGCGGGGCTCTGCCCTAGGCCTTTGCATTAGGTAGAGCCCATTTCCTGTTGGCTCTCTAAATATACAGTCCTGCGTGGCTCAGCACCCAGGAGAATTAACTCA